ATCAAGATTATCGTCACTGAAGAAATCGAATACGAATTCGATCAAGCAAAATTTGAGGAGTACTTGTCATCCTCATCCTCAAAATCTTCCTCGTCCCGCAAGTGCAGGAAGATTTCTTCTTCAAAGAAAGTTTCCAAGTCTCCAATTCAGATGAAGACCGCAGATGAAGATTCTTGCCAAGTCATCGCCAAGGAATCTCTCTGCAACATCTCTGCTCCTAAGGACTCTGCACCAATTAAAGAGTCCTTAAATCATGGCCAGCCAATAATGACAAAGCGGGCTCGTCAAAGGCAACGCCAGCGCCGCGCTCGTCAATTGGCTAAGGCCATGCAACAAACCGACGGAGTCCATTACTATACGGACTTAAAGTCGAGAAAGCAAAAGGTGAACCAATTGCCTCAACGGCAAACCAATCACATCTCTGCACAGCTTACGACGGAGGAATGGACTCTGGTCAAAAGAGCCCGTTCTACTCTCAAAGAGCGTATACAAAGGCGTCAAGCAAAGGCGGTTCGCGCTCGTGCCCTTCGTCAACAAGCGCAGAGGAACAAGAAGGAAATGGTGTCTGAAAAGACATCGAAGAACTGTAAAATTTGGGTTCCAAAGACCGAAAATACCCAAAAATTACAGAGGAATGTAAACTCTTACCGCGGCAGCTCATACTGCCGCGGTAATCTATTCGACCGCGGCAGTCCGAGCTGCCGCGGCACTTTGTTCAACCGCGACAGTGAAGACTGCCGCGGCACTTCATGTGGTCGTGATGTTCATCAGCGTCGCAAAACCACATTTGCAGTTCCATCGACACCCAATCCTGGTCCTTCTACTGCAACAGCGTCTACTTCATCACCAGTGAAACCCTGGGTTAGCCCAGATTTGTCCGAATTCAAGATCACAATGGCGGATCGCCTCGGTCCTTCAGTTGACAATCGAGGCAAAGCCCCAATCAAAGAAGATCCAAGTCCAGCAAACAAACCCTTAGTGGTTTCCTATACAGGGGGTCGTAAACACCCTCCTGTCAAAATTGCACCGATCCAGAACGAGAGAATACCAGTTCATTCTCGTTTAGGACCTATAAATACTCCACTCCCGCAAAGGGGTGGATTCAAAAATTCAACTTTGGATCGCTCAGAGGCGACGACCAGTCGTCCTGTGCATGTTAACAAAGTTCAAAGGCAAAAGATAGGTTGCTCAAATCACAATAATGATGAGCTGTACTATCAGAAAAATGACTCAAGAAAGAGGATTGCCCGAGAAGATGAGTCCCATTGCGCATGCGAGAGACTCATTAAAGCAGTGTTGACAGAATGCGGATGCTCTAAGAATAATTCAACAAGAGTCTCCGTATTTCAAAGATTGTCCAATGAAGCGTCAAGACCCAAAACAAGCCAAAGAGCAGAATCCAGTCGGCGTAATGAAGAGGATGAGACGATATTTGAAGATCCTCCTCCAGATAAAGACAACTCCGGAAGCGATCCGACCAAGTCAGCCACTCAACCTCCACAGATCTATTTGAAGAAAAGCGAGGAAGAGGACAAGAAGATGCACGATCTTGAGAGCAAAGTCAACGCTTTGATGACGGCTCAAGAAGTGAAGAAAACGGGCATCCCATACCCGTACCCGAGGGAGTGGGACCTGATTCCTTATCCCCAGAAATTTAATTTGATTAACTTTACTCCTTTTGATGGCAGGGGTTCACCAACTCAGCACTTGATCTATTTCAAGTCGCATCTCGGCGCAATATCTGGGAACGAAGCCCTGATGGTCCGGTCATTCGTAGGAACCCTTCGCGGGCCTGCCTTCGATTGGTACCGACGCCTTAAGCCTGGGAGTATCACTAGCTGGGCAGACATGGAAGAGTTATTCCTCACCAATTTCTTCGACGACGACACGGAAGTCTCGATCGGCACGTTGTTGGATGAGAAGCAGAAGGATGGGGAATCGGTTGATGTCTTTGTCAAACGATTCCGGGACAAAGCGGTGAACTGCAGAGATCCACTCACTGAGGAATTTATTCTGCAAACATGTCATAATAATCTGTCCTTGGATGTATTAGAAGTGGTGGGGGTTGTTCCCTCTAAAACTTGGAAAGAGATGAAAGTAAGAGGTGAACAAGCTGAACGCTTCCTCAAGAGAAAGAATTTGGAGCGAGGTTTGCCACCAGCTAATAATCAGAATCAAAATCAAAAGCAGAACTTTAACCCTCGAGGCAGAGGAAGAGGGTCTGTAGCCGCTGTGGACGCACATCAGACGTCACAACAGCCACCGCAACAACCGCAACAATCATCCTTCCAGTTGGCGCCAAACCAGAATCAACAGCCTTCGAAGCAGTTTAAGAATTCTGAGCCCAGATTCCCAAAGGAATACTCTTTCAAAGATGATGAAGTTCCGGTCATCTTCAAATACTTGTTAGAGAACAACAAGATCAAGCTTCCACCGGTCACAAACCAAGAAGAAGCAACGAAGATCAATGACCCAAAGTATTGTGCATATCACAGAAGGGTCCACCATCCTACTAAGACATGTTATGTTTTAAAGGATAAAATTCAAACATTGATTGATGTTGGTATTGTGACACCGAAGCCAAAGGAGAAGAAGGTAGGCGCAAACGCGGTCTCTATTAGCTTCGGATCGGTTCCTTTGTCCTGGTTTCAAGCCGAGCCAGTATCAAAGGTCAAGATGCAAACCATCAACGATGACCCTCATGGACAGCGCCAGAAGGGGCTCGTATCTCACACAGCCCCCAACGGCGAAATCCTTTGGGTTCATCCGGATTTGCTTGAAGATGAACAGTGGACGACACCCACATCAAAGAAGAAGTCAAAAGGCAAGGGAAAGGAGAAGTCCTGCTATGGAGCCTCGGCGATTCCCGAGAAGAACGATGAGGATATAGCAGCTTTATCACTTTCTGATGGAGAACAGGAAGTTTTTGCTACAA